GAGGAGAGAGCATCATCTTGACGTCTGAGTGTGAAGTGAAAATGTTCTGTTTGTCGGGGAGACACTCACCAGGACCTGGGCTTTTTAAAATTGAAAATGACAACAGTTTGTAAAAATAGTAGCTGGTGCTAATTTTGTCACCATGTCACGTGATCTGTCTGGCTTTGCTTTATGGAGCAAGCCACTAGAGCAGGGGTTGTACCCTGAGATGCCCATGAAGGCCAGACAGGTAAGAAAAGCAAGCAGAGAAGGACAGGAGTAGGGACTGGGGCCAAACAAGAGTGTTTGAGCCAGCCTGTGATGGTACCACTCAGCTTCAGACAGCTGCTGCTATGTTGGAGTGTGGGACTGGAGTGAGTCTAACTGAGAGAAGATGGAAATTGGGATATTTGTGTGAAATTTTCAAGTTAAAAAAAAAGAACACCCTCTCGTGATTGGATGAAGCCTACAGAAATGCCACTTTTCTAACCTCTGCACTAGATTAAACTGTGCGTGTACAGGGCCATGGGCCCGTCATGAATCATCAGAAGTCTAGTCCAGGCTCGTACGTTGAAAACCACTCTGCAAATATTTGTTGAGTGCTATTCAGTTTGGGGTGGGTAGGTGGGGTTATGAAAACTGGGCTTTCTAGGACAATTCGATCAACTTTGCTGAGAGTTTAGAGTCCGGCTGGGTGATGATGCAGATGGAGAATGAATACAGCAGATTGGGAAGTTTAGTATTTACTAACATTTATACATGACAGCTGGGAGAAAATGGGAAATAAGGAACACTGTGATAAGTATGATTTTGGCATCACCATCACTGATCAAATAATGAATGTTCTGAGTATATGCTGAGGACAATGTAATATACAGAGACACACAACACTAGACACTGCCAATGTGATTGTTTTGGGGTGTTTTCTTTTGCCTAAGAGCATTTGGACTGATCTTACCTGCTTCTCTTTTGTTTGGAGCTGTGTGTTATAACTGGAACATTCTCAGGTTGAAATGCTGCCTACTTTTATAAAGAACTGTGTTCTTTAAGCCCCACTATAGAACAGCAGGCTAAACCACAGGTCAGATAGTGTGCTGGTCAAAGTTCTCAGCCAATTTAACTTCATTTTCAGGGTTCCTTCATTAGTTCCTTCCAATTCACCGTTCAAGAGACATTCGTTTTTTATCATTCAAGAAATGACGAAGGTACCCAGACAACAACTAAAACATGAGTGCTTATTGGGCCGACAGTGTAGAAAGATGGACCAGCCAAAGGAAGCCTGACAGAGAATGGCACTGCGGTGCCAGGTGGCATTCTGTTTCCTTCTTACTTGTCTTATTTAGTTGCACATCTTAAATGCAGGGCGGGTAGATGGGGTTTTTTAATGCCTGGTACGACTCACTTGAATTCCCAGACCAAAAAAGCAACAGCAGTAGCCACATTCACTCACTGCTAAGTACTTTTCATGCAGTGCAGTGTATCATTCAGTCCAACAACAACTTTTGTGAATCAGGAAACTGGAGCGGGCGCAGTGACCATCATGTGCGTGTTCTCCAGCGTAATGATGGGATCACCAGGTAACCTTTCCCTGTGATCTGTGTACCTTGTCCATACCTGTGCATATTGGCTTGTGAGGTTTCCTCATCCTGTACTGTTTTCATACACCAGTAGTGTGTGAGTGCCCTAAGGCCTTTCTGCATCCTCATCACACTTGGCATAATACCAGGGAGATACAGGCAGACCCTGGAAATACTGCACATGTGGTTCCAGGCTGCCTCAACAAAGTGAAAAAGCAAGTCACACCAATTTTTTGGTTTCTTAACACTTATCAAACTTTCGTTTATGCTATACTGCCATCTATTAGGTATGCAGTAGCATATCTAAAAATATATATATACCTTAAAAACTACTTTATTGTGAAAAATTCCAATCATCATCTAATGCTGTGTGGCCACAAAACTTCAATTTGTAAAATTCATATTATTTGTGAAGTGCAGTAAAATAAGGTATTTTGGATATTTGGCAAATATAGTGGATGCTTGGCAAATGTTAGAAATTCCTTGTAAGGAATTTTGTGGTTGTTGAACATTGTAGGTTGGAGAAAATCCAGTCTTACTGGTCTAGTTTATCTCATACTCAACAACCAGTTACTTAATTAATAGTCTTCACTTCCTCAGCCTTGTGTTGGGTCCACAGCAGGTGCAAAAGAAGGAGCCCTGTCTTCTACTCCCTTGGAGCTGGGTGTCCACTGTAAGACCTGGACAAGAAAGACCCTGCCCTGGTTCTGTGGGGTAGAGAGGGTGTCTCTGACCCTTCTCTGGCCCTATCTCCTACCCACTGCAAGGAGTCTATGGGACCGAAAGCCATAGGCTCCTTCTTCTAGACCATGTACCGAGTATTTATGATCCTGGAATCCCCCCTCTCAGGTGTCTCTGAGCCCACTTCAAGGTCTGACATCCATGGACAGAACAGGGCTTAGGGCACATCTCCCAAGGCCTGCTGGGCAGCCAAAGCACAGCTGCTTGCAGGATGGGGGGGGTGGGTGGGTGGAGCTTGGGGCGCACTTGGGATCAAGAAGGATGGGAAGCTGAAGTGCCGAATCTCCCAGTGCTGCCATGTTGCAACACAGAACTCCAAGGAGCCCCAGAATCCTAAAATCAAGTTCTAATTTCCAAGGTATTCTGAAGCCAAACATCTTATTTAAGTGCTTATCAGATTTTAAAAACCTTTAAATTTTCAACCTATTGGAAGTGGGCCTTCATTGGAGCTGGAATTGTTATTGGGGGGGCAGAGGGTGGGCCTTCTGTGGGCAGGACCATCTCCTAAGTCCTCCGGTTCTCAGCTTGCATCCCCTGCTACTGGCTCCCAGGTCAGCCGGCAGAGTGCACACCTTGAACACCCAGGCTTGGAGCAGTTTCCTCCCTCCGTGAACATTTGCATACTAGCTCCTACCATTAGGCTGCTGGGAATGTGCTTAGCAGTTCTGTTAATGAATACCGGGTCACCCTGTTTCCTCACTTAAAACGCTTTGTGAAGTTGAGTGGCTCTGAGCTCACAAATGCCTAATCAGCTGACAGCAACTTCAAAATTGCAGGTCTTGCTGTTGATGGAAAAATGGGAGCTGTGGTTGTTAATCCTTGTGTGTAATCTTCACCAAGAAATGGGGGCCTGGGTTTAATGTCAACACCTAGAGACTTAATGTGGCCCTATTACTGGAAATCTATACCTTTAGCCAAATCTTGCCTCCCCACAATGTCGGTATTGTCTTGCTACCCCACCCCCACCATTTCCCATTCCTGAGAAAAGATGAGGTTCAGCTCAGAACAAGGGCTTCCCTGGCAGCTCAGTGGTAAAGAATCTGCCTGCCAGCGCAGGAGACATAGGAGACTAGGGTTCAATCCCTGGGTCAGGAAGATCCTCTGGAGAAGGAAATGGCAACCCACTACAGTATTCTTGCCTGGAGAATCCCATGGACAGAGGAGCCTGGTGGGCTACAGTCCATGGGGTTGCAAAGAGTCCTGCATGACTGAGTAATTGAAAACACACGCACAGCTCAGAAAGGGAAGGGCCCCTGCTTGCTTTCTCCATCCTGTGAGCACAGACTGCTCCATACTGGGCCTGCCTGGATCCAGGAACCATTTCATAACTAACTCAGGTAGGAGGGAGTGGGGAGAGGGGAAGAGAAAGACGGTGGGGGTGGTTCCGCTCCAGTCTCCAGTCCAGCAGGGAGCAGGTTTCTCCCAAGCATCAGGTCAGGATGAGGCACGCCCCACTTTGTCCTCATCACCCCCAAAAGGCACCATGGCATGTGTTTTAAGTTAAAGGAAATTCAATTTGATGTTATTTTGAAAGCACACAGAGGATGTCAGAACCCCCTTTGAGGTGGCTGATTGGTGATACTTCATGGGGCTCACAATCTTGGGGACTGGAAGGAAAGCCAGAATTGATTGGAAAAGTAACTTCTGGCCACGTGTGTTTCCTCTAGCTATTAGTAATCTGCCCCCAAATCCTGTTCAGTAATGCTGATGAATTAAGCAGCCACTTTTAACTTTTTCCCACTGAATTGCTTGGTAGTGTCCTCCCATCCCTGGAGAGCACTGGTTTGGATGGACATGAGCATAAGAAACAGATTAAACATTTATTGTTTCAAATGACACCACCACCCTCATGCCAGCTCCAACCATAGATGAAATGGGTAAATAGTTTCAGGCTTTTTTTTCCTTCATAAGAAGACTTTTCCCAAGGTCACTTCTGTCTTCGGCTATATGTCTCTCAGGGCACAGAGGCTTCCATGTCTGTGTCTTTAAGGAAGCCTTGTTCCAAGGCCACAATGTGTTTCAATGGCCATAATTACATTTGTATTCCAGTTAGCCCAGACTACAAATTTGATGTGTGCACAAAAGAAATTCGGTGGCTAGCAGGGTCAGAAGGCATCTTACTGGTGTGGATGACCAGGTTTAGGTGCTGCTGGCTCAAGGATGAAGACTGGGATTAGCATTTGGGCCAGCAGGAATGTCCATGTCAGGGGTTTGGATGCAGGAAGGGGAAGCCAGAACTGCCCTGCAAGAATCCGGGACAGGAGGCATGCTTGCTGAGGTTAGGTCTTGAAAAGACTGGAAATGCACACATGCACACACCTGGCATTGCTGGCTCCCGCCCAGAGAGGGCTGGCTGCTGGGAGGGTGCAGTCAGGCCACCTTCCATCCTCCACTGGGGCCTTCCCTTCTTTACAACCCTGAGGCCCCGGTGCACTGCCTGGTGCTTAGGGGAGAGCAGGGGGCAGGGAGTGGGGGTGGTAGGGGTGTAGGGGTGAAGGGTTCACTCCTGAAGCTTTCCTAGGCTCAAAGCGTGGGGAGGGTGTGGACACCAGATCCTGGGACGTGGCTGCACCGCCTGCCTCACCTATCCTGTGTCCACCGTCTCCCATCCCTTCGCCAACTCCACACCTGCTGGCGCCCATGAGCAGGGAGGCCCAGGCAGCTCGCCCAGACGTGGCCCTGACGTTGCTCTTTCGTTTGCAGACGGACTGTGCCCTATGGACTGTCCAGCTACAGAGGGAGCGGAAGCAGGGGCAGGAGGTCGGCTGGGCAGTTCCCACAGAGCCCACCGCCGGTGAAGGGGACACTGCGCTGCGCCTGCGCGGAGAGCGATGATGACGCCTGCCTGCAGTTCTGCACCTGGTCCCTGGCTGCCCGCGGGTATGACCCCCTCCCTGGCTTTCCGCATTTCCAGGGATCCTTGCCTTAGGCAGTGTGGGTACAGGAGGTCTCAGCTTGTCCTGGGGGATACCATCCTACGCGCGGTGAGGGTGGGGACTGTGCAGAGGGGATGTGGAGCCTCGGCTCCTTTAGGGCTGTGGGCATGGTATCCCACCCCCTCGCTGCCTTTCAGAGCAGAGTCCATTACATGGCCGCGGCCTTGTCTGGTCTCCAGAGGTATTTCTTCTGGATTGCATAGCAATTTGTCAAAATCTGGATAAGTTGCTAACTCTTAAAGATTGAAGAATACCGCCGCCACCCCCAACAAATGCACATTTTTAGCTTCTTCAAAAGTAACAAATGGGAACATCTGGTCTCACCAGCCCACATGCCCTTGTGGCCAGATAGGCTGGTACCGAGTGCAGGCCACGGGTGAGATGTGCAACGTCCTTTCAGCTGTGTTACTCATTGTCTTACTTGGAGGCTCCCTCCCCGGTCCCTGAGTTGGAGACCCTGCAGCCTCCTACAAGCGTCTGGAGAAGCTTGTGAGTCAGTGTGGACTCAGATAAATCAGCAGGCCCTAGGGCTGCCCTGTGGTGGCCATTTAAGTTGGGTTTTACCTAATAGCCATTCCTATTAATGCTCCTTGCTCCTGTTTTTCATTAATTTGGGCCAAGACCCGGCCAGGCAAAGCCACCCTGCCGAGCCTCTTCTGAGAGCCATCGCTGGTGGGATGGCACCTCCAAGTGCTTGCTGGGCAAATAAGCACCAGCAAGGGGCTCTCTCTCTATGCAGCAGGTGCCATCCCAACCAGGGACCTAGGGCCTGCTATCTGGAACCCCCAGCACAACCACATTTTTCTTCTTGGCTCCTTAATGTCCAGTGGATAACTGAGGCGTGTGGGTGGAGGCTGGGCTTTAGTGGGACTCCACCCCCCTGTGCTCAGCCTTCGGGAACTGGACCCGAGAGGCAGTCCTGGGGGACCATGCTTATACTGGTGGAAAGACAAACCTTACTGGATGCTGGAAAAACCAGTCACATGGAAATGTAAGTTGATTCATTTGAACTGGCTCTCTCCCCGCAGGAATTCAAGGTTGGCGCAAACACCTGACAAAGAAGTGGGAAAGCAGAATGGTGGTGCCCTGGGGGGCATGCGTCCGAGGAGGTGAAGTTGCTTTCTGAGTCGCTGCCCCTTGGGCAGCATGGAGGACATGTGGGGTGCATTTGGTTTGTGTAGGCGGCTAGCGGGAACCCCACTGCATGTTGGGGGGGGGTGTTGCTTTGTCCCCTGGGGTCAGAGCAGCCAAAAGCTGTGGACAGCCTGCCCTCTGTCTTAGGAGCTGACCCCCTGCATTCACTGTGGCTTTTGAGCAGTGATGTCCAGCCCTGGCTTTCACCAGGTCTGGATAAAGCTCACCAACCACTGCATCTTGGAGCCCCTGCAGGCTCATCTGCTGGGGCCAACATTGTGCCTCTGCTCCCATAGCAAAATGTGGTCTTTAGAAAAAGAATCATTTCTTCTTTTCAGCAGCTGATTCTGGACAGAGATGAATTAGAACAGCTGAGTGCCAGGCCCTCCAAGTCCTCCAGTTCATTTTATAAATTTTTTTTAACCCGTTTGTGGTTTTTGTATGATCCGGAGGGCTTCCAGCAGCCCAACTGGGTTTATGTGTCATTCTATCAATCAGAAATTGTTATTAATGAGTTGTCTACACATCTGCAATGGGATGGTAATTTATGTTCGTAGCAGTGGCCTGGAGGGGGTTTGGGTTCCTACATGGTCTGATCAAGGGAGGGTTAAACCCTTCTGGATATATACAAGGCATCCCAAATTGGTGGCAGATTGCTTCAAGTCATCTGGAGAGGACTCTGTCAGTATCAACAATAAAAACGTGGAGGAGCGGCAGAGGCAGGCCCTGGAGAGGATGAGTTAGGCCCCCACCAGTCCCCACTTTGCCTCTTCTTCCTCACCCCAAACCCAAACCACTCTCAGTGAGGGAGCAATATGATTAAACCATCCACCCATCATGTCATTTATTCAATTCAGCAAGGATTCATTGAACACCTGTGATGTACAGGGTACCATCCTAAATGCTGGGGACACCACCGAGAATACGGCAAAAGTTCAGCCTTCCTGGCACTTAAATAGTGGGAGAAGCAGATAGCAAACCAGTACATAAAACATAGATCAGGGCATGTGAAGGAGAGCAGGAAGAAGGCTGGGGGTAGGAAGTATTGGGGGTGGTTGCAGGTTAGGTGGTCTCACTGGCCAGGTAACAGTGGCATAAAGATCTAGAGGAAGTGGGACGGGGTGAGCCAGAGTGATGAGGAAGGGAAGAGGCTGTCAGACAGGGGAAGGGTAAGTGCATAGGCCCTGCACTAGGAACGTGCTGTGCTGGGCGTGTTCTGGGAAGGCAGGGGAGGCCAGCGCTGTTGAGGACATTGGCACAGATGTCCCACCCGGGCCTGGAAAGGAGCTGCTTCTAGGCTTTGCAACGTTGCTTGTCAAGCTCCTATAAGAAGCTTTACTTGGAAAGAAAGAGTCTTTCCTTATAAGCATGGTCCCGACTTTCTTGCAAGACTGGAGTTAGTCATCCCTAGATTGACATTTTCAGAGTGGAACTTGCTACTGTCCTGAGCTTGTGATCCTCAAAGATGGGACCAGGCTGCAAGAGAGACAGCTCCCAAGGCCCCACTGGCAGCGGTGACCGTGTGTACACCTTCGGGCGATGGCAGGCTCTGAAATTGCCATGAAGCTCTGTCAAGGAGGCTCCGTTCAAAACAAGGAATGGGCTGAAGAGGGATGGGGTGGCTCCCTTTCAGGTGGTGGAGAGCTTGGCTTTTGTTATAGGCTTCTTTCTTCTCTTTTGCATATCTCTCCCGCCTTTTCTGAGGCAGGCTGAAGTCAAGGCCAGACAAAGCAAGTAGGCTTTAGACCTCCATCAAAGTGGACGTCCCCGCCCCGCGGTCTGCCTGCCTCTCCGCTGGCCCTTTTGGGAGCTCCCTGGAGAGAAGGGCCTGCAGCAGGAAGGCCTCAGTTATGGCTCCTCCTTGGTTCACATTTCCACCTCTTTGAGGACAAGAAACGAGTTTTGCCTGGGGGAGAAAACCCACTCAAGGGGTCCTCAAACTTAACAATATAGCCCTTTCCCAAGAATGCCCCATCCAAAGACCCCAGCTTCCCTAATGGGTAAAATGATCCCAGCTGTGCCTCAGGGCCTGCAGCCCAAGGCTCGGGTTTCACTCAGGAAATTGTTTTTGGAGAGGTATGGCACGTCGCAAAGCCACTTCTCTCTGGGAGTGAGTGGACCCCAAGCTAAGTCTTTGCAAATGTAAACCCATGTCCATCTGGGAACAGATGCAGGCCTCGTCGGAGCATGTCGATGTCCGACCAATCACAGGGCGCAGGCGCCAGGGGTGAGCTAGCAGATCACATCTCTACAGGAGTTGATGAGTTTGAAGCTTATGGGATTTAGACAGACATTTTCAGCTTTTCAGCTGTGCTTGGTACGCACTAAAAGAATACATCTAAAAAAGGGAAGGAAGAAAGAAAGGATCCTTGATGTCTGTGATACGAAAAGGAGGAAATGAACACCTGCAGGTTTTGAACCCCAGGCCCCGCAGCGGAGGGACTTCTCGCCCTTTGCCAACAGGCGCACTGATGAACAATAGACCTGGTTCCCTGGAAGCCACTGGGAAGGCAGCCCCAGCGCAAGGCTATTAGTGTGATATTTGTTTTCAGGAAGAAATGTGGATCTTTGGGGAATGGCTTCAAAATAAGCCGCAGACACAAGCGCTTTGTAAATTATGTAAATTTCTATTTATCTATATAATTGGCAACAACTGGGAATTGTAACGCCTGACAGTTCGCAATCTCTTTCAGCTGCGCTCTAGTGGCTATGCTGAGATTACTGAGCAGCTGAAGAAGACGGTGTTTTCAACCGTGGGGATGGGGAGAGGCCGCCCATCCCCTCCCCCTTCCCCTGCCGAGGTGCTAATGCAATGGTGGATGCTGGGGTGTTAGCCTTGACCAAATGCTAAATTCTCCATGAGTATTATAAGGTACGAACGTGAATATCCATCATAAGGAAATGGAAAGGACTGATGTGCCAGCGAGATGGTATACAGTTTAGAGAAGCGATTATTTATTGTGAAACTGGTCTCTACATCAACAACTCCTTTCAGTGGATGTGTTCGCAGCAGAATCTCTGTACATAGAGATGTTAAATTCTGTTCTGAATCCCAGCTCATGTTCCTTAGGGCTTGAATTACACTTTTTTTAAACGCCTAAGCACTGTTTGGCTCTGTGGCAGGATGGTATCTCAGAAACGCATTCATTGTGCTAACACTCAGAAAATACTGTCAAATGCAAAATAAAAAAATCTGAAAGTTTGGTCTGATTTGTGGGTTTTTCTGGCTGGTGTGATATACATTGTTACCCATCAGCTTTCTGTGGGCCCTGGGAGAGGACAAAATAGTTACTGTTCCAGAAGTAGATTGATCTAAAGTCGATTATGGAGCAAGATGAGCGAGGGGGCTGCTTGAATTGTAAGGAAGAAGTGAATCTAGGGGACCCTCTGAGGAAGATAAAACATTCAAGGTGGTTGGGAAGAGATATATTTGGGGGAACGATGGCTCCTTCCTCTGGTGCTACCCTTGTCAGCTTTGTAGTGATGCACACCTTTGTCTTCTGGCCCCACAGGCATGGAGGTATTGAGCAGGATCCCAGGGAGAGGACAGTCGTAGCCAACAGTGGACCTTCGTATTTTATTTTTCCCTGCTACTCATAATTCTTGAGTAGCATTTTATTTTGCCTTGCTACTCACTATTCTTGAGAATTAAAAGCCAGAAGTGACCACGTTTGTTTGATCTTCTCTATCAATTACAATGTTTTTAAGCCTCCAAGACTTACAAGACATCTGGGGGGTGGAAGTGCCAGGTTCTTGTCTCCTGCCCTCCTTCTTTCGAGTCAAGCATTGAATACCATCAGGGATCGGGACAAAGAGACTCAGCCAGAGAGCCAGGAGAAATCTAGTATGCTGGGGTTTGAGCACATCTAACCTGAGAAAGCCCAAGAGCCTCTTGTCTTAATTAAACAAACTTCAGAGAGCTTCGACTTTGGTGAACTGATAGAGTTGGGTACTGATTTATCCTTCAGGCTGTTCGGCAGGACGGGAGGAGCTGCCAGTGTTCATGGGAAGCACTCCTTCTGGGCTCTGAGCCCTCGTAGCTGCTGCCGATGGAGCGAGGAGGAGGGTCAAGGAGTCCCGGGAGCTGGGGAGAGAGAGTTCCGATGCTCCTGGGCTCTGTGTGGACTCCAGAAGGAGTGCCCATGGGGTTATGTGTGAGATGGGCTACAGGGCTTGCAGGACCCAGTGCAGAGCACCCACACAGGACTCCTTGTGAAACCATGGGTACTCATTGGTTAAATCCGTTATACCTGTAACCTGCCTTCACACATCAAGGTCATTTAAATCATTGCTTGTCCTCCAAGGAGCACAGAGCCTAAACCATAAGATATTTGCTTATGTTCCAAGAACTTGGAGTCAGCTGTGTCTAGTTCAAGCTAAGTCGGTTAAGACTGGATGGGACCACCACCCCTCCAACCGGGCACGTGTGAGTGTCTGCCCAGTGACCTTGTGATGTCAGGAAGCTGAAAAGCCCACCTCCACTTGTTAACATGCAGAGACCTGGAGCTTGGTTACACTGCTCAGGTGACAGTTACTGCACCTTTTTCCAACCAGCTTTCCCCATGCTGCCCTCACCTAAGACTGCCCTTTTTTTATCCCATGAAAACCCCAAACCCCTTGCCTCCAGGAAGGGTCGCCTGGGAGTTGGTCTCTCATCTCGTCACCTGGCTGCCATGTGAGTAAATCCTTTCTTTGCTGCACATCTTTGCATCTTAGCGTTTTGGCTTGTGGGTCGGACACTGGTTGAGCAACACTGAACAAACACAGTTCAAGATTACTGAGATTTTCAAGATGGCGATGGTGGAACCAAACTAGGAGCCCTGGCTGAGCATGGGGCCCGTTTCCTGGCCAGGTTGCAGGCCTGGGAAGTCCAGCAGAAGGGGCTTTTCGAGCTGGAGACCTGCCTTTGCTGCCTGCCAAATCCCCATGGGCAACAAACCTTAAACTGAGCCTCAGTCTCCTCATTTATAAATGGATGTGATTACTGGCCACCACTTATCTATCGGCCTTATTAGGAGGCCAGATGGAAAGAAATGATGTACATAGACAATTTTTTTTTAATCCTAATCTCACACAAGGAAAAGATACAGTCTTCAAAGTTTGCCCTGAACTTTAGTCACTCCTATTTTTGCTTAAAAGTTTCTTGCGGAAGCGTATCTTTGAATGCTCTTCAAAGTAATGGAATTTGACTTATAGAAATTGTCAGGATAGTCAATCATCCCACCCCACCCCCGGAAGACATGTATTCTCTAAAGCCCCAAATCCTTTTATATGAATTCTTAAGTGTCTCAAAGCTGAAGCAAATCAAGTTACCTGTTATTCACACCATTATGAATCCACTTGGGTCCTTCTGTCACTGAAGATGTGATTTCTTTTCTCTTTGCTGGCAGGAACGCTCAGAATTGTTGAGATCTGAGTGGTATTGAGTGCGGGGAAATTGTAAGAATTAATAACTGCGGGGGGCCGGAATGAATGAATGCAAGCAACTTTCTGCCAGGCGTGTGTCATTAATCCTTGCAGCATTCCAGAATGATGCTCTAAGTGACAAGGGGTGGGCGAGGAACGGAAGAGGCAGAGGGATCAAGAATCCGTGACAGGGGGAAAGAGCCCCATGGGACTGGGGAGGTCGTGTATCGAACACGAGCTCATCGCCTCGCCTCTCTTCTTCCTCCCTTCTCCTCTCTCATCTTTGTCTGAACAGACCTCCATTATGGAGTATGTCAATTCCTATATATCTATACAATTGGCAAGAACCACCAGGGTCAAGCCTGGTGCCCAGTATCAGCTCCCCTCCAACACCACCTGAGGGAGCTGGCATGGTGGGGTGGGGGTGTGTTTTGTACCATCTGCAGAAGCATTAGAACTTTCTCTAGCACATTTGTGTTCATCTCATGTAAGGTATTCACAGCAAAGGGTTTCTGCTTCTTCCTCCACATTAGATGGCAGAGTGTGAATGTCCCCTTTGGCTATTGTGGTGGTAGATGTGTATCAGTCTCAGAAAGTGGATGGAGAGAAAGCCCACCTGGACACAGAGATAAGCAATAGAGGCCCTCCAGAAATGCTTATAATGTCATAAATAATGGGATGAAGAAATGGGTATTGACTCAGTCTACAGGTGAGGAAAACTTCCTTGGGGAGGAGATAAGTAAGAGTAAGCCAAGCCACACAAGGGAGCAAGGGCACCCCAAGTGATGGGCAGAGTCTCAGCAGAGGTTTGGGAAGGGCCATGTGGGGCACTGTGCTGGGGAAAGGCCAGGAAGCGGGCTGTTCTAGCATCAGCCGTGCACTGGGGTGAGGTGGGAGAGAGCAGATGTGGATGGAAAGAGAGAGAGATGAGGAATTCACGACCACGTCCCTGACACAAGGTAGCAAGGCCAACTCTATAACCCTTGAGCCATCTCAGGGTGCCAGCCCCCTGTCTGAAACGTGAGCTTCAAAGGCGGCTGAGTTGTCTAGGTCAGGACAGGTTTCTATTTTGCTGTTTTCAGACACGTCTGTGGGCTCCACCTCCCGAGGTGCTCCCTGGCACCATCTCCCAGAAAAGAGGGGTGGCTGTGGAGCACAGCCCTTGCTAAGCTTCTGTCTGACTGGACCACGGACCTGCCATCCTTCATCTCACAGTGTTTGGGTCTGGCACACGTGGCGGATGCTTTTCAAACATATGTTGGATGAATAAATACACATGGAAATATTGAGTCCTACAGAGCAGGAATCAGCAAAACTTTCCTGAAAAGGACCAGATAGTAAATCCCTTTGGCCATCTGGGCCATGTAGTGTCTGTTGCAGCTACTCTGCTGTTTTAACTGGAAAACAACCCTCGGTAATACGTATGTGAGTGGACGAGATGGTTTGGCTGTGTTCCAGTAAAGCTTTATTTGCCAAAACAGTCAGTGAACTGCAGTTTGCCAACCCTTGCTCTGGAGTACTCCATGAGGAGTGAATTTTCTATATCCTTGTCCATCTGAAATCTCTTTATTTTGGAATTTATAGATTATAGTTTGGCTGGGGGTAGAATTTTAGGTTGACAGCTCTATTCCCTCAAGTTGCTTGAAGATATTATTTCATTCTCTCCTGGTGTCAGTTATTAATGTTGGAAAATTTATAAGAGTGCCTTTCTTGTGTACATAATTTTTCTCTTCTCTCTTGTTGATTTAGGAATTTTCTCCTTATCCTTGATGGCTTGCAGTTTCAGTAACAAGGGTCTAGCTGGGGATTTTTTTTTTTTTCTTCACTCCAGTTTGTACCAGTTAGTACTTGGTATCTATTTTCAATCTGAGGATCTCTGCCACCCATCTCCTATTTTAAAAGTTTCTGGAAGGCTTTTTGCTCTGCCCCTAATACTGCTGCTCTGCCATTCTGTCTCTCAGGTGTGCCTATTACTTGAATTTCATTTTTAAGGTATATTTTTTATTAAAGTATAGTTTGATTTACAATGTTGTATAGTTTCAGGTTATAGTAAAATGATTCAGTTGTCCATTATATACATATATCTATATCTATAATGTATATAGATATATTCTTTTTCAGATTCCTTTCCCTTATAGGTTATTACAAAATACTGAGTATAGTTCCTTGTACTATACAGTAGATCCTTGTTGGCTATCTATTTCATATATAGTAGTATGTATACATTAATCCGGAACTCCTAATTTACCCCTTCCTTCCCTTTCTCCTTTGGTAACCACAAGTTTTGTTTTTCTGTTTTTTTTTTTTTCATAGAGACTGGGAGTCTG